ACATTTAAAAAAATAAACACTTATCTGAGTTCTTTTTTTTGTTGTTGTTTGAAGAGCATATACTATAATTTTTCCTTTTTCACCTTTTCTAAATTCCACATCTCAAGTTAAGAAATGGGTCAAGAGAATGCCAGAATTAAAATGGATTCAAGGTGGTTGAAAATACAACCCAACAGTTAGCAGGATGTTCATGGTTCACCCAAGACGAGACTTGCAAATGCTAAAGTTTTCAGCTCAAATCTGAGTTAAAGTGTCTCATGATTCTGCCCTTTGGGGACTTCTCTTTAAGTTCTTTTTAAGTTTTCAGTTGCACTGATTTATATAATTTTGTGTCATTGGTTTGTTTTCCATTTTGTGTTATGTTTAAGCAGTCTTGTATTTTTTGAGTTACTCTCTGTCTCCCCCTTGTGTCAGTCTTTTTTCCCTAAGCTCCTTCTAGTTACTTCTGTCTACAGCTGCTCCCCATCAGCTAATTAGTCCTCCCATTGTTTCTGGCTCCCATATATACACCACCTGTTCATTTACTCATTGCTGGATCCTCGTCAGTCTTTTGGTTTATTCCTCCTGTGTGTCTGCTAGTTTTTTTGGTTCTGGTTTCCATGTTGATCAGTTCTGTACTTTTTTTTTTACCTTTTCATTACATTTTGCAAGCAATTGTCCCTGCCTCCTTCTACTCTGCATTTGGGTTCACAAGTACATCCACTAACCCTGACAAAGTGAAAATTATTATGATTTATCCTGTGAGGAGGGGGTCAGGAGAAAAACAGCTTCCTGCTGAAAAATTATTTTTAGTCAAGTAAATTTGAAAAACAAAGGGTAAATTAAATAAAGGGGCAATAATAAATTCAGTTCAGAAAACCAAGGTAGTTTCTAAATCTCTAACTTTATAGTTGCCAGTATATTTTTGTATAACTTTAAGTTGCTGACTGTTTCAAAAAGGTTTTTATAGTGAAATGCAGGAAAACCAACTTTTGGAGTTTACTTATTTGCGAGAGGCTCAATTTCCTTTTAGTGTTTAATTTTAGCAATTCAAAGTGTTGCTGAAGATATACTGCCAATTTAAATAGCATTGTTTATTCAGTACAATTACAATAAAGCCAAATATTTCATTATTATCCATCCATCCATTTTCCGTCACCCTTATCCCAAGTGGGGTCACGAGGGGTGCTGGTGCCTATCTCCATCTGTCTCCGGTGAGAGGCAGGGTCCAGTCCAGTTTTTTTCATTATTAATTAAGTGCAAAGCTAACCTATACCTAAGTTACTAATACTAAGTTATTGGGTATAATTTTTACATTAGAAGTTTAAGATTTGTTGTTTATTCCCTAATACTAAAAAAAATGCTAACAGCTAAATGCTACTCCACTGCCTTCACAACTTGTTATTCTCAACTTCTGCATTTTGCAAGACAAGGCTGCACCCCAGCATAAAAAAATCACGTAATCAACCAAAGAAAGAAAGTGTATAGAAAGACATGCAGACAGACAGATATTTGTATAGCTTAAATATGCATATAGTGCATTGTTAATTCTTATTTTATCACTAATGCTTCTCTGTAATATATGTCTATGTCACGATAAGTGTACATAGATTCAGATATGTATGGATAAATATTGACAGTTAACCATGTGTCATTATATATGTAACTATGCATGTTGTTTTTATAAAGTTTCCAGCACATAAAACACTAAAAGTTCACTATATAGTGAGTTATTACCGATTACATACCTGTAACTGAGCCTGTTGCCAACAGGCAATACCTTGCCATGAAGAGTCATGCCTTTATATTTATCAACCACAATATAAGTATGATCGCAATCAGTAGAAATTCAGCAGGGTTTTTGCGCATGTACAGCCGCTAGAAGGAATACTGCCTTCTGGTGGCGTGTAATAATAGCTCTGTTACTGTTGTTGTTAATCTGTGAACTTTATCTCGATATGTTGTGAGAAATGGAAAAGCAATCGGGGTTTTATCAGATTGTTGTTGTGTGTTCAAGGCTTAGCCTATGACTCTCTGGAGCAGTTGTAACCAGCAGCTGTTGCTCTGGTGACATGCATTCCCCTTATAGCTTTATCCCAGTCACAGTCTTGCATACAGTGGAGACCTATGCAGTTAGGGTTAGGGTTAAGTTATTGCCTTTTGAAGACTGGATTCCGCTACAGTAATACGTTTCCCTTAATTTGCTTCCAGCAATGTGTCCTAAAATGCTACTTTAAATGAAATTGTCTTATATCAAACTGGTCCTATAGTCACTCTATTACAAATGGAGTCATGTAATGAAAGTAATTTCTCCCTGGGATTATTAAAGTATTTCTGATTCTGATTCCTGGTTGATGGGACAGGTGTTGTGAATGAAACGGTGCCCAGCTTGAAAGAGCTCCTGTGTGTCGCTGAATGTGTGCATTGATGACTGAAAGACATCTTCTGCCTCCATTGATCTGTTTACTACAGTGAGTTGAATTCATGTTAATGCGGATTTAAAGACATTTCAATTTGCAGAGGGAATATTAAAAAAAAACATCTAATCAACCAAAACTTTCGTGACCCCCATGCAGTACCCCCTGTTGAAGACCTTTGGTGTAAAAGATCAAATTGCAACTGCAGTCAAACACTTTCTTCTTGATTTAACTCAGACATACAAAAAAAAAGCACAAATGAGTCCACGTAGGTCCTAAAGACTAAAGCCAAGTGGGAAAGGTAATGTGAAACACACACACACACCCAGATAGATAGATAGATAGATAGATAGATAGATAGATAGATAGATAGATAGATAGATAGATAGATAGATAGATAGATAGATAGATAGATAGATAGATAGATAGATAGATAGATAGATAGATAGATAGATAGATAGATAGATAGATAGATAGATAGATAGATAGATAGATAGATAGATAGATAGATAGATAGATATCTGCTTAAGGCAAGGCAAAGCAAATTTATTTGTATAGCACAATTCAGTAAAAAGACAATGCAAAGTGCTTTACATGATTAAAATATAGGAAATTAAAACAGAATCAAAGCAAGCAGAAAAAATAAATAAATAAAATAAATAAATAAAAAATGCAGAGACAAAAAATAACATTAAAAACAGTTGGACTAAAGAAAATCAAAAATTTTAACTTAAGGAAGCAAAATTATGCAAAGGAAAAAAATTTTACTTTTTGACAATACCAGTACTTCTAGATTTATTGCTTTGCTTTGAAAATCAATGGGAAGGCCAAATATGCTTTTTTTCCTTTACATCCTCCTAAACTTTATGAGTTTTATAGTTTCAAAATATGTCAATATTTAGATCCTATGTTATAGTTAAACAGTTTTTAGTAGCTGTTCTTGATCCATTTGTCTTCATGTTGGCCTGCTGTAGTGAACATGTCCAGAATAACCTCTGCAGAAATTTGGCCCACTAATCGTGTTGCGGCCTCAGCAGTGATGTATGCTCACGGGCCCACAGCTGCGAAGCACAGCAGGGACAATGTCGGACCACACAGAGAAAAGCAAACAGGCAGCCTGCATGTGCCTTGGGCGAGCAGAGAGAGGATTGCAGAGGCATTTCTGCCAAGAGGATTATGAGCCAGCTGCTGGGTAGACGTGGATGTGTAGCATCCATTGGCTCCGCACAGCGCTGCAGCCTTAGCCCAGTGAAACCGTGTTCTGATGCTCTAATTTTTTCTTGCATTATTCTCCCTTTATTTGTGCAATTCTTGTATCTTAGCTCCTCTCCTTCTTTGATATTTCCTTAATGCATGTCTCCAACGGACATGGGATTTGGCTTCGCCTGTCAAAACACACTCTGCTTTATTAATCCATTTTAGGTTTTTTTTTAGACTTCACTTGTCCCTCTTTCTGTTCGTGGCCTAAAAAATATATCAAACATACTATGAAACAGTGGTGGCCATGTTGGAAAGGAACAATTAGAAAATGGTGTCTTGCTGTAAACTGGATGAGGGGAAAGAAGATCTTCAAACCAACCTGGAGCAACATGAAAAACTGTCTTTTTCACCGTTCGCTACTAATACAGATCAATAAATCTTTGAATCACTCTTTTTGCAGTTTTTTTTTTTTTAAGGAGCCACATAGGAGGATTTTTGAACATGAACAACTAGTTTAAAGTCATTCCACAGCATTTTTGTAAGAGTGGAGTCCAGACTTTGACTAGGCCGCTATAAAATCTTTTAAGTGGGCATTGGATTATTGTCCTGATGTATAATTGAAGTATCTATAAGCTAAAGGATTTTTGTTTTTAGAAAGTATAATTGGTGGATCCTTCAGTTACAGTAAGTGGCTCAGGTCCATTACACCTCCTGTCTGCCATGTTGGAGTGTTATTAAAATGTCATTTTTCTGAAAAGCTGTTAGTTTTTCACCTGATCTAAATGGACAAACACCTCCTGAGAGGCTCAGTTTTTGTCATGTCAGTCTACAGAATAATTTTGGGAATCCTGTGTTCTTTCGCTCAGCAGTAATTTTGGTCTTGGAAACCATTTCTGCTCAGTCTCTTTCTCTTATTGTTAAATCATGAACTCTGTCCTTATCTGAGGAAAAGTCTGCAGAGCATTAGATGTTATTTGAAGTTCTTGGGACCTCATGGATTAGCATTAATGACCTTTTGGATAATATTTTTATGTGCCCGTCCCTGGGAAGGTTCCTTGTTGTTCTCCGTATCTGTATAATGGTTCTCACTTTGGTTTACTGGAGTCCCAAATCCATGGGTTTGTTACAATTAAAAATTATAGATATCAACATTTTTGTCTCATCTGTTGATATTTGAGATCTTTTATCTTCCTTCATGATAGTTAATCAAGTGGCTTTACAAAGGGTCACACTATTTTGTTTTTGTAAATTATTAAAATCATCAAATGTAGACGATTTGTGTTTCAGTGTTCAATGTGGAAAATAAGCACAAAAAAAACATGAAGATTTGCAGATTGTGAATATAGAGAAAACTATTTAATGTTTTATTTATTTTTTTATTAATGTCACTGTTTATATTAACAGGTCACGAAGAGAAACCAGAATGGAGGGAGGAGGAGGTCAGAAGACTGGAAGGTAAATTGAACAAATATCAATTTTTTTAAGTTTTTCAGTGAAGCAAGATGAGTTAAACAGTTACTTGCATGTGATTTGTAACAATTTGCTCTTATTTTTTAAACAGCCCAATTTATAAACGGAGTCCGGACCTGACAAAAAACCCGATGACGAAATCGGAGCAGCTCCTGAGGATAGATGATCACGATTTTACCATGAGACCAGCGTTTGGAGGTTAGACACACTATTTTTGGTCATTTCAGTAATATTCTATTTATAATCCAAAGGCTTGGAAATGCTACGATAGAACTTGGTATGTCGGTTTCACTGGATTTAACCTTCTAGCCCTGCAGAATCTAAGCCTTCGGAGACCTTTGTGATACCATCATTTCAAACCCTGCCTCAAGCCCTGATTGCAGTTCTGTGCTTTACATGTTTTGCTTTTGTTTTTTTACTGGAAGGATTTGCTGTCAGATTGAATGATTATGCATTTATCTTGATATAATTTAATTTCTTTTTAGATTCTTCTTTTAGTTTATCCTCAGACAGAAAATATCCCCAAAAACAGAAGACATTATTTAGCAGCAATAAATGATCCTTGGTCCCTTTTAATTTACAATACTAGTTCTTTCTTTCTGTCAGAGCACTTTTAATCACACTGCAATCAGCTGCTGAGCCATCAAGTGTCTATTTGCTGAATCCTTTCTGCAGTGTGAACCGTGAAGAGGAAAAGACAGTTGGATTGTATCCAATGTTGCATCAGCTTTTATCCTTTGTTATGACCCTAATGTTTTTTTTTTTGAGCTTCTCAGAATATGATGATGCAGAGTGCAGAGGCTGAAGTAGGTCAAAGATAAATCAAAGCCTGACTGTCACAGCCGTAACACCAACAGATGCTGTGTACTCATGCCTTTGTTTGTTTGTTTTTTGTTACTTCTATAATAAAAACATTCAAATATTTGTTCTTAATATGTACTACTTGAAAATATGTTGGTGTTCATATAAAATAAAATATAATAAATCATGAAGCTTGTCAATAAAACTGATCTGAAGCAGGAATTTTCCAAATTTTCACCAAGTTGCACGTTAAAAAAAATCCTTAGCAGATCTGATATTTTTTTTAGATTGATATCTATTATTTAATATCTATCAGTAAAGAAATAAAAATAAAAATAATACATAATCAACAAGTTAATAAAAAAGTATTTGGCAATCAGACATAAAGAGAACAATTACTTTATTTGTCTAGCTCAGACCTTTATGTGCTTTTTAAATCTAAAATAAACATGTGACATTACATTGGATGTTAATACATTTTAAAGCAACGTTAACCAAGAAAGGCTGGTTAGGCATCATGGTTGGTTTGGATCAGACTCCTTCAAAAGTATTAGACCCTCGCAGCATCTTAATCTTCCAGAAGAGTTATTAATGACCAGCCAATCAGAAGCTGGTTTTAGTGTAGCTATAGAAGCTAAGTAGGAAATATTTAACAACCACGCCTGAATTTTCCTTGTGGAACTTAAAAAACAGAACAGGTCCCTGCTATGTGGTTTTTGTTATGTGAGCAAAGTGGTGCAAAGATTGCTTCAAAGGTCAGAAAATCAAATTATCTTTTGAGAGCTATTATTTATTGAGAGCTGCTCTGAATGCGAACCTTAGCAATGATTTTCAGTAAACTTTAGAATCCGTCTGATTTGCTAAAGTAGAATTTTTTTCACCATGCAATATTCATATTATTCATAAATAACAATAAAAGTAGAAGATAATAAATCATCACACTGATCATTGACATGAATTCTGCTTTTTATTTTGTCAGGTCCTCCGATACCTGTTGGAGTAGATGTTCAGGTGGAAAGTATTGACACCATCTCTGAGGTGGACATGGTGAGTCTAAAAGAGTTTTTTTCCTTTATAAATTGGTAGACATTACAAGTCATCATTTGAAGATGAATAATAGCAAAAGCTATTTAAAGGTTCAAAAGTTTTTTGATGATATGTGGGGAATGGGGGCCTATTGGTTAGGGCATTGCACTAGGAATCCAGAGGTTCTGAGTTCAATCCCCCTCTGGCTCCCTGAGCAAAGACCCTTAACCCCACACTGCTCCCCGGGTGCCACACAATGGCAGCCCTCTGCTCCCAAAGAGGATAGGTTAAATGCAGAGTGAATTTTGTTGTTTTGTACTTGTGACAGTGTAATGACTATTAAGTTGAATTATTTTCTAATTCACTACAAATATGTTTATGTGCCTCATAAAGTGATATGTTCTTTTTGATTAAGAATGATTAGCTGCAAGTTTTAATGAATATCCTTGGAACATACATAATGAACATTTTTTTTGGAATAACTGTAAACCATTTAGATTTAAATCAGGTAACTCAGCAAAACCATCTAAGCCAATTTAACAAGAAACAAAACTCCCCTAATCTAATTTTACATTTTATTTCATAACCTAATATTCATAGTGCAGTTTCTGTTAACTGAATTGAAAGCTGAATTAATGCAACATGGTGTAATTTAGTTTTGTTAGTATAAAACAGGTCTTAAAGATGAAACTTTATATTTTAGCTATGTTTAGTGTGTCTTTTTTAAAAAGGATGCACACATTAAATAACCAAACCAAGAGAGGTTTAAAGTAAGAAATAGATTTTAACACTTTAATCTAATAAAGGCAGAAAATAGTTACCATCGCTGGGCTCCTTCTGGTGCTTATATACCAGCTTTGTGTACAGAAAAGAGAGAGAACAATGACATGTACTATTTTTTATACCCTTGGCTCATGTTTCCGGTTAGATGAGAGCTTGAACCTTTCATGTCATCATTAAGAAATAATGTGTGACTATTAAAGGTCATAAATAGCCCAACAGTAACAAAGTTAAACTGGATGTTTGCAGAATGTGAGGTCATAAATCAGACCCCATCAATTCAACCACGTCTACTTTTTTTCTAAATGGTGCAAATACCAGTTTTATCATCCAGATCTTTATCTTAAAATCGTTTTAAATCATTTGGTTATAAAACAAAATCCCAAACTTTGACCATGTTACAGAGCTCAACAACAACAAAGCAACATCTGAAAATGTAAAATAAGGAAAAACAAAAAAAAAAAAACTACAAAGGCATGGTGAGAAGAAAGCCATTCTAAATGAAAGCCAGTGGAAGTTTGCAGTTTGTCACTAACAGGGGACACAGCAACCATGTTGATATAGATACTCTGCTCACATGACAATACATACTGAAAGTATTAGACCTGCATACCAAACACGACTTAAAAGCCACAGAAAAAAATTATTTATCTTAAATTTAAAAAATGATATACAGTAAGCATTTGTCCTACTAGTGTTTACTTAGTCCTTTCATTAGCCTGAAAAGAATTGCTGCATCAGACACGATAAGTAGACCATCTGCATGCAGCAAAATTGAAAAACTAGAACAGTCGCAAATATTGTATGCATTAGATACTGTATGAACTTTTCTTTCACAATAACTAAGCGTCAAAGAATAACATTAATACCAATAGTAGTGGTATTAGTAAGGCTGTGAACTAAACACCAACATTAATACAGTATTCTGATATATTTTTAGCGCTTTTTATTGCTCCTCCTATAGCAGGGGTAACCAATTAAAAATCAGCGAGGTCTGAATAAAGAAAATCATCAACCAGTAAAAGTTCGGAGACATTTTTATTATAATCTGTTACTTTAAACAGAATTTAACACTGAAATAAAATGATGTGTTTATGCATCAATGTTATACATTGGCTTTTTAAATAAATAAAAAAAATGTCCATTTTAAAAACTAAACAGTTTTTTGGAGAAAAATCTCTCAGTTTGGTATATAGAAAATTTCCTGATTCACGTATTTTATAAAACGCCTGAACTGACTGTTTGTTATTTTTTTTCTTTCTTTTTTCTGGCTTAATGAGAGCAGTGGGTTTTAGGCTGCCCTGCAAGGCTTTAAACCTGGGTTTAAAATGGAGACAAAGACATTCTTTAAGAATCCATTCCAAGAGTGGTGATTTTCTTTTAGTCCCCCTTTGTGTGTGAATTTTTTTTTTTATTATTTGACTCAAATCTGCATTGAACTAGATGCATATTTGTAAGTGACATGAACACATGTAAAACACATTATTATCCAGCAATTCACTTTCATACAAAATAAATAATATATAAAATACTTTGCTGAATAAAATAAGTATTTTAAACGTAAGCTTGACTGCTTAACTTCAAACTGTAAAAATTAATATAAGACAATAAATAAATAGTGCACAGTTTTGGTGCAACAGCAAACTTGTGCAAATTTGTAAACATATTTGTGCCTTAAATGCAATGACTACAGGCTACAGTTGTAATATAGAATAAAACATCATTAGCTCAATGCCACATTATGTGGCGATAGCCTACTTTTTCCACTTGTATTTCCTCTGAGCTCTTGCAGTAGTGAGGAGTTTTTTGTCTTTAAGTGCTGCTGCTCTGTTGCCTCCCGCTATCTTCTCCGTGAGCAACACTTGGCTCGACCAATGGGATGAGGGGATTCTGGATAGTTACAAATATGTTGTCAGCTCATTGGTCACAACGCAGGACAGGGCCCGGGAAAAATGTTTACCATAAGTTTTGTATCTAATGTGCCCTTGTTCTTCATTTTCCATCAGCTTTTTACTGACTATTTTTTTTTACTCTCACAGTTCCTTTTCTACTAAATACGGGACAGGTACTTCTATCTATTAAATACGGAACGATTACGTTTTTCAAGGGACGGTTGGCAAACCTGTCAGTGGATGAGACAAAAGTATCTGTCTCTAAATGTGCAAACCCTGAAAAGACATGCTCTAAGTAAATTGGAGTAAAAATTCCTCATTGGAGCTGATGGTCATCCTATACACTGTCTGTCTTGTGTCCATCCTTCACCATGTGCTTTGGCTCAGCCACAAAGAAGGATCTACAGATCCAGACTGCAAACAGTCAGTACTGCAGAGAGAGTCAGGGTTTACCTTCCCTCCATACATGATTTATACAGGCCTATTGTCAGCCAGCTTCTCTGTTGACCCTCATCCTTGACACATATTGTTCAAACTTTTACCTTTAGTTCGGCAGTATGAAAGGCAGTTTCAAACGTAATAATTATAATCTTTTGGAGAAATAAGAGCTAAACCAGTGTTTTAAAGGTGGTTATTTAAAATAAGAAATCTGTCTAATCGTCTGTGGATATGTTTCTACTGCCAGTTATCTTAAAATGATATGAATTGTTTTTGTAGAAATAAACTGAATCATCTTTGAAATAAATATATTTTTTTGTCCCTGTAGGACTTTACAATGACGTTATACCTGCGTCACTACTGGAAAGATGAGCGGCTGTCGTTCCCAAGCAATAACAACCAGAGCATGACTTTCGACAGTCGCCTGGTGAAGAAAATTTGGGTTCCCGACATGTTCTTTGTCCACTCTAAGCGCTCTTTCATCCATGACACCACCACTGACAACGTCATGTTGAGAGTTTATCCTGATGGCAATGTGCTCTACAGCCTCAGGTAAGAACAGTCTGTTCTCTGAACCCAAATTAGGAAGAACCGACTTTCCCACTCTTGTCTCCGCTATCATCTGGGTGTCAGTATGTATTTCACAAAGCAAAGAGCACTAATGATTTGAAAGTACAAACACATCCAATGCAGCAGTTTTAACTTGTTTTCAATCAAGTCAATTAGCAGAATTCCATTCAGTTCAGTTCTATAGCACCAATTTACACCACATTTAATCTCAAGGCACTTTACAGTTCACCAGATCATCCAGTCAAATTTATTCAAAGTTTTCAATCTACGGAAAACCAGTTCATTGCATCGAATCCTTTAATGCTAATGTTATTATTAGGGGTGTCCCAGTCCAATAATACCAGAGATTTAGTCCGACATTAGCCCAAAAAATAATATCTAATAATTAGGGATGCACGATATTGGGATTTTGGCCGATATCCGATATGCCGATATTTTAAAACGCATGTAGCCGATAACCGATATCGATACTGATGTTAAAGCTGGACAAAAATAAGTAGTCATTAAAAATAGCAGTTTTGTTATCCATTTCTGACACTTGGAAAAATAATATACTCAAATATGTTTTCATATGCTGATATCAAATAGATTTTTAAAAACGCGGTATCGATCTATTTTACTTTCAAAATCTCGTGACATTTCATCGTTCTGTTACAAACTCTCGTGATATTTTGCAAATTCTTGTGAGATTTTGTTAGTAAAATAGATCGATACCGCGTCAAAATATCAACATATAAAAATATGGCAAAATTTCCTGAATTTTCGGGGGATTTCATAGCATAACGATGACATATAGCAATATTTCATTAGTAAAAGAGATTGATATGGTGTTTTTAAATGGCAATATATCAGCATATGAAAATATTGTGATATTTTAATGTATCAATATTTTTCCCTCGTCTTTAGAAGTTTTTAAGACTTTAGAAACTCAGAAGCTGATCAAATATCGGATTAAATATCAGTGGGGTGGCCGATGTCCGATATTCAGTTTTAAGGCCGATACAGGCCGATACCGATAGGGGACTGATTATATCGTGCATCCCTACTAATAGTAATAATAGTATATATAGTATTATATCAGCCAGCATCTAAAATCTCCAATAATGCCATCCTGATAGAAACACTCTGCTAGATAGAAACATCCTGCAACTCATTTGTTAATATTATATGGGTCAATTGTTCTCATACCTTTCATTGTTGACTATAGTTCTCTCATTATCAGATCAATATCGTATCGGTCAAATCTTAAAAGAGGCTATATTTGTATTGTATTGGAAATGGAAACAGTGGTATCGGTACACCCCTAGTTAGTGTCATGATTTAACTAAAGATCAGACCCAAATGCAGAGAAACCATTACAGAGAGACCAGGGAAAAAGTTTAACAGGTTTATTGAGAAGCTTGTGGAGATTCCAGTGTTGCGCTGAACACTGCTCAACCGGAACTGAAAGGTGAGAGGAAGACACTGCGGTTAGTTCAGGTTCAGTGGAAAAATTGATTCTCGAACTTGAAGAGGAGAAAAGGTTTGCAGATTCACGTTTCCAGAAAAGTGGTTGACTCTTAGACTCCAGTAGGTGAGGAATGTGTTTTTGTGTGTTTGTATCATATGGTGGAGGGCGGACAGGGTTACCCAGAATGCGGTTGCTTGTAGATGAATGGAGAAAGACTGACTGCCACTCAGATTTCCTGAGGTACTTGAACGGACTGTTGTGCAGATGAATCCCTTGCTCAGTGTGAAGCTCAAACGTTTCCTCAGGGAAAAGAGGATCCAAACCTCCGGTTTGTTTCCTCAGTTCAGTTTGAAGCTCAGTTGATCCTTCCAGGGAGAGAAGGTCCGAAAAATACAGTTTGCAAGATGACTTCCCAAAACTGGCAAACACTCTGGCGGCGAGGTAGTAGCAGTCAGCAGCTTAAGAACACTCCTTTAACGAGGTAACCCCTTGCAGGTGTGTGAGAAGGAGAATCCGAACCAGGCGCCGCCTGGTGGAGGAAGGAAGACAAACACACAAAAACACAGACCACACAGACTGGAGTCCTAACAGTTGGCATTATAACAAAAAGTGAATATTTAAAAAAACACAATAATTATATAATTTTTCAGTAAAATATATACTTTTATTCTTCAGCACTGTAAACGTTTTGTGGATTTATTATCTTTGGAAGATAAAGTGGTAGCTAGCTCCTTTTACAAATTATAAGGTTAACAAGTCTCAACCATGGTTATGTGGAGAGATTAAGTTAAAATATCTTATCAAAGCTCTGTCTTCTTAGGCTCCAGTGTTTTGAAACATTAGAAGACAAAATGCTTTTGGCAACAGGAGGAGGTTCAAACTACTAATAGCAGGGGAATATTAATTAAAAACACAACTTCTTTCCTTAATGTGGGATTTTTTTCCACCAATAAATAAATGTCCTCATATAAAAGACAGTTCTTAAATATTCAGTATAAAATTGTGTTTCTACAGTGAAATACGAATGTATTTGAAGGCTTTTCAAATGTTGTAAATGTGAAAGGTGCTTTGAATAGAACCGTCCTCCGCCGTCACCACAGGTATAAAGGTGCTGACAGACTTCCATTCAGATACAGGTCTTAATGGAACATAAAAGATATCTCACAGAGGAAATAAATTCAGTCATGCTTTCATAAACCATTAAGCTTTAAGTGGGACATTATCAAAATGATGGTAAAATGAATCATCCCTGGAACTGTTCCCCCTTAAGATTAAGAAATATGACCTTGAATTTCCAAAGGTATACTGCTTTTCTGACTGTTAGGTGACATCAGAACTAGTATGGGCTGCACTAACCTATATGATCAAAAATAAATAAGTTATTTTATTTCACTTTTTACCCCAGACAGATGGTGTTCTGTTCCCACAGTAGAGAAACTGCTCTGAACACATTTTACAGTCTCCAGTTAATAACCTCTAATTGAGCAGCTCTGTCTATTAGAATAGCCTCTAATCTTATGGATATATCATGCACTTGGCAAGAGTTTCTCTGTAGATTACAAAGATCCTTTGCAGCATTATCATCCCCCTCTCTCTGACAGCATCCTCCCTGTTTTATTCCCCTGCTTTGCGTCCAGCAGTAAATATTTTCCAACCACAGCATGTACCAAACACATAGATCAGTGAAAAATGATTTTAGACACACCTAATTCTTTGTGTCTTAAAGGTGCAAGGAGAATGAAATACTTTAGTTTTATATGATTTTTGCTTTTTTTTTTTTGCAGCATGTACAACTTAAAAATATTTTATAAAACTTGGCATCATAGACACTAATTATTCTCATTATTAAACCCAAGAGCTCCAGGTTTAGTCATTCTTGCTTTGTATTCATGTCAGTTTGTTTTCATGGTTGGTGAATGACAGAGGATCTGTTCTTTTCTGCAGAGTCACGGTCACTGCTATGTGCAACATGGACCTCAGTCGCTTCCCCCTGGACACCCAAACCTGCTCGCTGGAGATTGAGAGCTGTGAGTGAAATGATTGAATAAGGCAAATATGAAAAGCAATAATGAAGAAGCAAAACGCTGTAAATAAAAAAAGGAAAGGTGAACTGAAGAAGGTGTCCTTAGCAATAAAGGTTTCATTTGGATTGGAAATAACAAAAACACAGCACTTTTTTTTTCAAATTACTTCACTTTCACAGCTTAATGTTAAACCAAACAGTAAACAAAGAGAATGCTTCTTGAACTTTATAGATATAAGGTTATAAGTAGGGCTGTTGTAAACGAATATTTATATTAATATAGTAATCGAGTAATCTATCGATTATTCTTACGATTAATCGAGTAATCGGATAAAAAAAATTTATAAAATAAACTATTGGCAAATCTGCAATAACACCAGTTAGTCCAGATCAGTCCAATATCTCCTTTTTGAGCATCCCTAACAGTTAAATGTTTGTAGTTTAGAAAGTTTACCTGTAACAGTAGTTTGCTTTAACCTGAAGAAAAGTTATAAGATATTAAATTATATTCAAATAATAAAGTGGCAGGCTCACAAATATGCTTATAAAAATGTCTAAATGTAAAGGTTTCAGTTTGTACAGAGTTCTGCAGCCTTAACTAGTCATGATAAAATGCAAAAATGTTGCTATTTTTATTAAAACGATGCTATTATTTATTCTTGATTGCTTAGGTATAAACAAATATAGAATTACTACAAAAAGTATTAATCAAAAATTTCTAATTCATACATAACAGTAGCGAGAAGAAAAGACTGTAACTTTTCAGGATGGAAAGACACCAATAAATAAATGCTTTTCAGCTTATGCCTGTAATCTGTTGCTGCGTATTTTTATTAACAAACTTACATTAAGTCTTGCATAATTTCTCTCAGTTCCACCCTCACATACAATTTACACTACACCCGGTTAAGTAACCGCTATGTTTAGATGTAACGTTAGCAAAAAAATGTGCCTCAATTTACATCTATAACATGGCAGATTATCACACAACGTAGTTAGCAAAGAGAGTGTTTAATTTGACTTTTTAACTATTTCGGTGAACATATTTGCACAGAATCTTAAACATCACAACGATACACTTCAAGAAAGAAGGTTTCCCTGCATCACTTTAAAAAAAAAAAACTCTGGTGTATTTCTGTCGATTTCGTTTTCAGTCATCATGCCAGTTGACAGACATTTTTGATATCCATTTCTGATATCTTCAGAAACTTTCTTGTTGCACCCTGCTGAGACTGACATGTCCGCTTTGCATACCAGATATTTCCTGAAATCCCAGATCTATCACGCTATTAAAGTTTCAAGACTTGCTCTTGCTTCAAAAGGGCAGCACGGCTTTACTTTTAAGCATATCTTCTCCTTCATGTAAAACTCCACGGTGCATAAAGAGCAGTATGTAAATATTACAATCTCTGCAGACAGAGTTACAGCCGGTTCTTCGTTTCTTTATTTTCATTTGTGTTGTAATCTTTCTTTTTTGTCTGTTCTGATTTAGTTTTACTAAAGTCCTGTTTCTACACATTTCTTAAACAGATGCATACACAGACGATGACCTGATGCTGTACTGGAAGAAAGGAAATGAGTCCCTGAACACGGACGACAGAATATCTCTCTCCCAGTTCCTGATCCAGAAATTTCACACCACCACAAAGCTGGCTTTTTACAGCAGCACAGGTACTACTACTCCGCACACTTTTTTGCTTCATTGCTGAATTAAAACTTCAAAAAATCTCATTTCACCTTTCCCGTTCCGTTCCTTATAAAGGAATCAAGTTTTTCATGCATGAACTCATCATCTCCATAGCAAATATAGAGGGAGAATATAAAAGCCTTGCAGAAAAGTGAAACAGACAGGCTGTTGTGAGCCTCCTGTGTGCTGCAGGAAACCAAATGAAAGCATTACACTGTTCAAACAACCACTTGTCACTTTCCAGCAACTCAAAACATAAAGAGGATTTTGTGTGCTATCTTCCTCTGCCAGAGTTGCTGGGACGATGCTTCTAGTGTCGACATGGTTCATCAGCTGCCAGCTCCTGACAATATGAATGTTACAGGCACTGTTTCTTTTTTTCCCCTCTCCTGTAGGCTGGTACAATCGTTTGTACATCCACTTCACCCTGCGGCGCCACATCTTCTTTTTCCTGCTGCAGACTTATTTCCCCGCCACTCTGATGGTGATGTTGTCCTGGGTTTCCTTCTGGATTGATCGCAGGGCCGTGCCTGCCAGGGTGCCGCTAGGTAGGCCAAACTTTTATTATAGACACAAAAATAAAAAAATATCTATCAAAACCTTAAAAAACAAACATTTAAGTAATGTATAATTTATGTGTTTCTACTAATTCCCGGTTTTCAAATCTAAACACATAAGCTAAATTATTCACATTTAGATGAGGGTCAATTTCTTCAAAGCACATATTTCATCATTTTTAAACCCATCCATTGTCTTTGGTTTGCAAAGAGTGCAAGAATAGGTCATTATAACACTGTTCAGCTTCATCTGGTTCGTGGCAACTACAGAAAACTGGCTTAAAGCGGATGGCCAAACATACAATCCGTACACAACAAAAGACTTGAAGAACCCAGGAGGATGACGGGTTGGTCTTTGCATTGCATCTGACTGGGAATGAGCTCAATGTTGCTAAGAATATCATTGCTTCAACTGACCAGATTGCTCTAGTTTGAGCCGGCATGCACGGAGAAAGAAAAATTCTGAAAAACTAAGTGAAAGTCCAGTTTCCTCCGATCTAAGCCTGTTTTGTGAATGTTCAGCTCATTATGAACAGGAAAGAAAGAGTTGTATCGTCCCTTCAGTGTGTTCCGTGTCTGCCCTGGGGGCCTCCTCCCAAAGAGGGATTACCATAAAACCTCCAAAGTGAGGCACCCAGGAGAGATACTGATCAATTCCCGACCCACCTTTGCTGAATCCTTTTGATGCCTTGGAGCATTAGCCCTCAACTCCAGCTTGAAGCAAAGGCTAGACCCTGATCCAGAGGGATCAGTCCACCTTTTTCATTTTAAGATGCACGGAAGCTGACGGGTAGTTAGCACTGTTCAGGTAAGAAGGCTGTAAATTAGAATTGTTATTGTGTGCAAAAAATCTAAATTGACATTTTCATTGAATGAAATTAATGAAATATTTAATTGAAAGGGGAAAAAATATAACAAGCTGAAACCTAGTTTTGCATTTATAAAACTAATTAAAATGCAAAAACATAAAGAAACATACCCTTTCTTTTCATGATTATCAGTTCAATCTAATGGCCTTGCAAAACTCATGTAAAATTATTTTTTTTTCTCATTCAGCTGAGTTTTCTTTTACATATATTCAAAATTTTATAAAAAGCAATACTCTGACCTTTTTGAATAATTTGCCTTAGAATAATTTTTTTCTTCTAAAAGCAAGATAAAATTAGTTATACCACTCTCCATTTTATATTTTCTTTTTATATTTTTTGATAGGAAAGGGCTGCATAAAGTTGAGGAATGACATTTGATTTTGGATGCCACATTTCCAGTATTATTGAGTTACAGAAAATCACTCAAGATAAAAGCATTAATAGTAATGTATGCAGGTTAAATTTGGGGTAATTGTGGTGATTTGATGACACAACCTTAAGATTACCATGTTTCCCATGTTATTCCAAACTTATTTGGTGCTAAATAATCTATAATGTATCTATGCATGGTTTAGAACAAGGGTGTCAAACTCATTTTCTCTGAGGGCCCCATCAACGTAATTGCTGTCCTTAAAGGGCCAGATGTAACTTATAAATGTAACTAAATGTAATTGAATGTAATGTAAAATAAATGTAACAACTCCTTAATGTTAAATAAGTCATTATTTATTATAACTTATTCAAGTGACAATTACAGTTGCATAGAAAACATATGATTGCTTGTTGCTCTAACACACGTGTCACACAGCCACTTCCTACCCAGTCCTCCTCATCGGTCTCTCCCCCTCCACCCGAATCACTATCATCAATATTTTGAAGCATTTCTAAAGCCTGTTTCGCTGTTAGGTTTCTTCTGAACGCCACTTTTTCCATATTAGCCAAAAAGTTCTAGGTAGAATGTTGGTTTCTAGGCAACGGTACCAAACGTCAATCAACCGCAGGAAGAATTTACAATGCAACTAATAGAGCCGTCAAAATGATGGTTGCGGGGGATCGAGGTAGAATTAACCATATTTATTTTTTACGTTTTAATTTTATTAAAAAAACTAAGTGAAAATGAAGGAAATATGGAAACAGGAAAAGTCAGTTAACATGAGCAACATAAATTTAATTTTAAATATAGTTCTTTCCCTTTAAAATCTCAGAACCATCAAAATGACGGCTGTGGGAGTTCTAGCGGGCCACATAAAATGACATGGCGGGCAACATCTGGCCCGCGGGCCTTGAGTTTGACACATGTGGTTTAGACCATTGAGAATCAAACTGAACTTGCTGGCCCTTCCTAGGCAATTTATCGGACACTATAGAGCCTAAAATGGGATATCATGTCATAAAATAGAGGAATGTGGTCTTTTCAAGGTTACAAGGTAAAACTGCTAAATAAATGTGAGTAAAGTTGTAAAATTAGAGACGGGTGCTCTTTGAAATTATGAAATCAAAAGATCCTGTATGTTTTTTTGTTTATGTGGTTTTTAGAACTTTTCTGTATTCTCCTTCTGCATAGCGTTTATATCTTCCTCCTGTTTGTTGGAGGCAGAAGCTCAAGTGACCCTTCATCCCACCCCCTCACACTGCTCATCATAGCTTAAGAGGATATAGAATTGCAGATCTAGACTGTTTCAGAAACTTGGCACGTCTTCAGTGTGGCGCCATGAGCTGATCTTAATGCAGGATCTTTTTTTTTTTACCTAAAGGTACATTTTGTGCTTGTTTTGTTCAAACAAGAGGCTTCAGGCGCAGCATGGTGTGATTGAGAAGCAGACCACCCGCTGTTACTCCATTTTTCTTCCTTTCATTTTCTTGTTTACATTCTTCTGAGTGTAATTATATCTGTTTCACTCCAGATTGTGACAAACATGCCAAGAACCCTCTCAAGCGTAAACGTTCGAAAATTAATTGGTAATGAATTTACTCATCAAGTTTAATTGAGCCAGAAAATGCTCTGTTACAAAATTAGAGTGCTTTAGAGCTGCAGGCCATGTTGGTAGTATCAAGTGTAAAATGTGCAACATCTTCACAAGTTAAAACCCTGCAAAAGTATTTAGACACTTATTGCATTTTCTCTGATTACCGGTACAAACACAAAGTTGGGTGCAGATATTTAGGATTATGCAGGATTTTATGACCTAAACAAAGGAAGGAGAAAGAAAAAATATACAAGGTTTTTATTTCATTGTGCAAGACTTAGTTCAACCAAAAATAAGCATTCATTAACAAATTAAAGTAGACATTAATAACAGATAGCACATGAAGGAAGCTCTAATGCATGTGCTTAACCTGATTCCAAGGCATGGCTGCAAGATTGACAAAGTGGTTCCTGAATTTTTCATGCCGACCCCCCCTTTTGTTTATAATCTCTAACCTCACTCCAACATTTTCTACATTTAAAAAAAAATGGAGAAAAATCAACAGCATTATATTGCAATAAAATAAATTAGAGTCTACATTAAATTGCTAAAGCTATCATTAAAGAGCGATTATTTTAAGTTTAGCTGTTTTATTCTACTGTATTACAGAATTCAACAATTCTATCAATAGAATAAAAGAATAACAACAACTCTCAAACTGGGTCATGCATTATTATTCATTTTCACGACCTCTGTAATTACAATGTACCACCCCTAGGGGGCAAGCCCCCCCTGTTTAGGAGCTTCTGTTTATGTGTATGCATTTAGCAGTCATTTTTATCCAAAGCAACTCACAAAGTAGGCATTAGCGTGTAGGGTCTTGCGTAACGACCCACACTGGCAGCTCATTTCCCCCAGCGGGGATTTGAACCCCGAGCCTCCTGTGTGCAAGTTGGATCACTGACCAATTGACCTAACCAGCCACTCCTGCACACTTCTGCACTGCTAAATTGGTAAACGCATGCTTATATCAGCCAATACCTGAGAAAAAATAAAATTGCTAATATCGGCCCACCGGGGAATTGGATTATGCTAGTCTTAAAAATGACCTCTTGGATGCTTCTCTAACTAATGCTCTTATTAATTCAATTAAAGATATTTCCAATGCTGAAAGGCCACTGTTGTGCAACTTTTGGAGGATTCCCAGTACCAGCATGCCTGGGTCAGTTGAATAGCCTCATAGAATAGAATAAAATAGAATAGAATATCCTGCTGATGTTCTGCTTTGGTCACCCAGGGTTTTTTCGGAGTTGCAGCTAGCTTTAAAACGGGAGGCCATTTGATTTGTAGACCCCTGGGTTACGTTCACCCTACAGGTTTTGATGCTCAATTCTGAAATTTTGCTGAAATTAGATTTTTTTATTCTGCATTGTCGTTCTAATTAAATGCTGCGTCAATGCAAACCTGCATACATGAAAGGATTGCGTATAAATCAAGTGCAATACATACAGAATAACTGATCTTGACATCTCAGTATTACAATATTAATGTCATGATGGGTACTCTAAGAGTGACCCAACAATGCAGAACACCACTGACGGACACAGGAATAAAAGTTCAACAAGTTTATTTTAACACAGGCACACAGAATGTACTGGTTCTGGCTCGGGCCTGGACACTGGTTCACCGGAGTCTGCGTGAGAGACAGTTCAGTTAGTGTTGCACGTTGGAGCTTGATTTCTTGACTAGAACTGATTGTTCCTTGAGGGTTCTTGAGGTTAGCTTTGGGAGAGTCACTGTTGGATCTGGAGAGGAGTTGATCAGCAGAGTCCGCTTGCTGCTTCAGCGTCTCGCGTCTAGTAATGAACAGACCTTGGCTTGGGTTTTCCAGCTCTTAGTCCTGAGCTGCATGGAAGTTCTCTATGGTTCTTCGGGTTTGGCTCTGAGGGTCGGCTCGGCAGGTTAGCTCTTCCAGAGCTTCACAGAGGAGACACTGGTTTCCTGGAAGATAGAGACAACGGTTAGAATCCTGGCTGGATTCAAAGTCACAAAGATACACTGAGAGTCTAGGCTTAGGCGCTGACCAACTGGATCAACACTGCGGCGTTGAGGCAAGGTCTGAAGACAGCTTATATGGTGGATCCTCTGATGATCTGATGGGCTGCAGCTGTGCAGGAGGCTCACTCAGAAGGATCCACGGCGGACTCTGCTGGAGAAAGGTGGAACTTCTCCAGCTCCCAACAATTAAGATTAACAATAACAAAATATATGAAAAAAAGAGAGCAGAGCTACTTCCAATGGGTTTTTGCAGAGCAGTGACTGCTGTGCTGGTGAGGAGTCCGTATGAAGGAGTAGTCAGCCTGGATGATAACATGAAAACTGGATGAAATGCAACATTAAAGCTCAGAACGCAGATATGTGTAAGATTTGGCCCTACATACTGAAGAGGTGCACTTTAGTCTTTTTTAAGGTGAGAAAATTGGAATTTGGCTGTTCTGACTGCCATGAAAAATCTGGATATGCGTCACATATATGCGTCATACTGTTTACCTGCAGTATGACGGTAGACTTAGTTTAGGGGCACGTCCAGTAGCAGTTCTATTCTTACATGTGAATTTTGGTCTCATTTTACATGTTTGCTGTGTTCTCCAAGATGTGGCAAACTGCAGACAAGTTTATCAGTCCTTTTCAGGAATTTTTTTTTCTCGCTAACTCTGCTTAGCCTAACCTTAACCCTGGCTTAGTTGGAGGAACACATTTTGAAGTAGGGTTGCGGATGTGCCATAGTCTTTCCATGTTCAGAAGAGGAATAAAACAGAGTCCTGTAAGATAGAGAACAACTGGATTTATAGTGAGATTTATTAGGCTAAACATTGATACCAACGCATAATATACTTTTCTTTTTATTTGTATAAAATAAACCCATCAGAATACAACATATTGGAATATTTGGCAAAAGGAGGCTCAATTTTCCTTGTCTGCTGCTGAACATAAACCTGTGAGCGTGGAGGGAAGCCCACCCAATCTATAATGATTAGATATCTCTTGTACTGTAACAGTGTTGATGCTGCATATTAATGACTTCCAAATAATAGCACACCTTGGACGAAGTCAAAATTACCACCCCACCTTCCTTTAAACATTGCAAATCTTTAAACTGCACGATTGTAAAGATAAATCACAAAAAGACCTGAATGCTGCAACAGACAACAAATATTGGCATGGAAAATAATGAACTGAGGTCCATTAATACAATATAACAGCTATAAGTTCTTTATCTGTCTCCCATATTTTTTCATTAAGACATTGATGAGTTTCTCCTGAGTCTGTGCAGAACGCAACATAATCAAAACCAGTAACTCAAAGAATGTAAGCAATTCCTCAAACAAGGACAGTATTCAGTAGTGTTGCACCTAAAGCTCTTAATCTTTTTCATTAATTTTAAACACATTTTACATTCTTCCGAGCTTATTCTTTAATGTATTTTTAAGATTGAGCAGAAGCTTTAAACTGAGTCACATTCAGGTGTTCCAGCCTAACATAAAGACATATACTGGGAGCTGCATGGCAGGTTTTGACTAATTAAGAAAAATATTGAGGCAGATGAACAAAGAAATTGGTGTAAAGACACAAAGCAAAACTGACAAAACACAGACTTTTTAAACACAGACTTTTTAAATACAATGAGGAACTGAGAACCTGATGAATAGTGACACAAACTGAAGGCTTAAAGGAATAGTACACCCAAAACCTGATTAGCCTTCATTTTCTACTCACCCCCATGCTGAACAACACTCTGGAGTACTTTTTTGATATCTCAAATGCATCTGGAGATCTGGGAGGCTTCTTGCTGTCTGCTGACATTCAAATAATGGAGGTCTATTGTGCCCGAGACAGAAAGGTCCATAAAAGTCCACAAAAACATGTCAATATTCCTCCATACTGCTCGTCCAATGTATTCCAAGTGTCCTGAGTGGGTAGCATCCAGAATTTACTCGAAACAAAGTCATTTAGAATGTTTTTAGAGCATAAACAGTAGTGTATAGTATTTCCTAAAAGCGCGTTCACGAGTCTACGGAAACCGCGGCAGACCAAACCAGATGAAAGTGCGCATTCAGCTCGGCAAAGAACTCATGCTCTTCCTCAACACTGAAGTCCTCAGACATTTTTCTTTCGTTGTTTCTTTCTTTGCACAGGTAAACAGCACATTTCTTCTTCTACACTTGCATTATCGGCAGAGGAGACGCTGAATGTGCACTTTCATCTGGTTTGGTCTGCCGGCTTCCGTAGCGTCCTGAACGTGCTGGCGCGCGCTTTCAGGAAATCCTATACACTACTGTTTATGCTCTAAAAACATTCTAAATGACTTCGTTTCGAGTAAATTCTGGATGCTACCCACTCAGGACACTTGGAATACATTGGACGAGCAGTATGGAGGAATATTGACACGTTTTTTGTGGACTTTTATGGACCTTTCTGTCTCAGGCACCGTAGACCTCCATTATTTGAATGTCAGCAGACAGCAAGAAGCCTCCCAGATCTCCAGATGCATTTGAGATATCAAAAAAGTACTCCAGAGTGTTGTTCAGCATGGGGGTGAGTAGAAAATGAAGACTAATCATGTTTTGGGTGTACTATTCCTTTAATGAACAGAGTAAACAGTCGCGAATGATAGGCATATTAGCAAACACTTTTTTCCCCCAGATTTTATTGTCAATACACTGTCACAAGGCCAGAGCAATGAAATTTACTCTCTGCATTTAACCCATCCCCTTCAGGAGCAGTGGGCTGCCATTGTGCGGTGCCTGAGGAGCAGTGTGGGGTTAAGGGCTTTGCTCAGAGACCCAGAGTGGCAGTCTGTGGGAGTGTGTCTCAGACCCAGAACCACAGGATTCCAAGCTCTATGCCCTAACCACTTTGCTGCCACTCCCCATTGGGAAAACAGGTGCATAGAAACAACTAATTAGCTATCTGAGGGATATGGCTGAGGGAAAAGTGATTTAACAAAGAAATACGGAGAAAAACGGTAGGACAGAAACTAACCAAGAGATAAAACTTAATGACCAGAGGAAAAAAAAGACAAAAGCACAGAAACAAAGTAAACGAATAGAACTAATATGGCAAACCCCAAAGGACAAAAATAACAGAATATGGCAACCCTCAACGAATCAAATCCAAACGTCCAGATCCTAGAATGGTAAATGGCATGTACTTATATAGCACCTTTATTCAAGCCAGGAGACTTGACCAAAGTGCTTTACACTACATTCGTTCACCCACACACTCACACACTGATGGTGACAAGCTACATTGTAGCCAAAGCTGCCCTGGGGCTCACTGACAGAAGCAGGGCTGCCGTACACTGGCACCACCGGGCCCTCTGACCACCATCAGTAGACAATGCAGGTGAAGTGTCTTGCCCAAGGACACAACGACAATGAAAGTCAGAGCAGGGGCTTGAACCGTCAACCCTTCGATTTCAGGGCAAACTCCTACATCCAACGCCACTGTTGCCCCTAGATCCTTGAACAATCAGACTTCTTGGGAAACATGAGCAACGTGTGTACGTTTGGAAAAATGTTTGTCCTCTTGTCTGCAGGAATCACCACAGTGCTGACCATGTCCACCATTATCACCGGAGTCAACGCCTCCATGCCACGGGTGTCCTACATCAAGGCAGTGGACATTTACCTCTGGGTCAGCTTCGTCTTTGTCTTCCTCTCGGTGATAGAGTACGCAGCTGTGAACTACCTCTCAACCGTGCAGGAGAGGAAAGAGAGGAAGCTCAGGGAGAGAGTGAGTTCGCTTTGATCCATTTGCTTGTTTGTTGGATATTTATCTGTATGGATTCTGCTAGCCTGCAGTATGATAGAAGTCCAATGGTTTATTTAAATGTCATGTCCCTGAATTACATAGGGACACTAATCCATGATTTTTGTGATTTGATCCAAACCTAATAAACATTTTTTAAGTCCTTGAGTTTTGTATAATATGAAATGAAGGAAAAAGAAAAAAACACAGGCTGATGGTATTTCTGAATCTTTTATTCTCACTGGCACACATGATTCATGTTGTTCTGTACTCTGGTTGGCTCTATTGAAGTTTTGTCCTCAGTTATTATTAATGTGAAAATCTGGGAAAGCTTCCGTAGCTCTAAAGTTTTTCTTAGAGACATGATACAAACATTAATGTTGCATTTCTTTCTATCCGACACAAAATTATCCAATAGAATCTTTGCTCTCCATCTGCAGGAGCAGATTGTCCAATAATGACAGGCTTCTGCGGCAAACTCTGCATGTGGGAATGTACTAAACAAAATAAAATGACTTTACCAATATAATTAACATTTTTGCAAATGTGGAATTATGATATTTTTGTAACTCTTTTATTGAAGAGTGCCTCTTTTTTTCTTTTTTGGCTGACAGTTTATCACTTCAGAATATGATTAAATTATGACCAACAGCAACACGCGCCATGCTGCCCTGGGTCAGCAATCAAACCCTTACATCAGATCCAAGACCCCTTTTTAATTTTCATCAGTCACCAAGCACAAAAATGACTGCAGTTCGTCTCTTTGAACCACGCTGTGTATTTCAGTCTCTGTTTTTTCCTTCTTATAATAAACTCTTATATCTGTCAAGGCTCAGAATAGGGAAACCAATATTTCAAAACCGTTTATTTAAAAATGGCGAATCTGCAATGAGCAGCAAGGGTGTCAATGGCAGTAACCTCTGCAGGAAGGAAACACAGGTTAGTGACCATGTCTATCTAGTGGAGGAAGATTATGAACAACTGAGTCACTAGCCTGTTCTTAAAGTTTAGTCCATGCCCGGACGACAAAGTAGAGTCCAACCAATGACGCGGGTGGTGCTGCCCAGAGAGTATCAGACTTTTAAGCCCCGAAGACTGAAGGACAGGCAGGAAATCAGATCCAAGCAGACAAAGGAAGGCAAGACAAACCAAAGCCGGTATCAAGGAAATTCACAAGAGTCCGGGCCAGAAGATCAGATATCAGAAGCGGTACCGGGGGGAAATCCAGGACAGTGTCAGGAATTGGTTCCAGGTTCAGTCAAGAGAATCCAGCAGGAGTCCTAAGACAGTCAGGCAAACAGATCAGAGCGGGAACAGGCAGGCTCACAGGTCCACAGGCAGAACGGGTCAGGATCAGGTCATCAGAAAACACTAAAACTCACTCGAAGACTCTCACCGAGGGCTTGAATAATCTGGCACTGATGACCGGAAGCAGGTAGGTTAAATAGAGACTGCTGCAGGTGTCACAAATGAGCAGTGATGAGAAATGGGGCAGAGATAGGCAGGTGAATAGAATCAACAATCAATTAATTCATCGCCAGGATCATGACAAACCCCTCCAAGATCATGGAGGGGGTTGCACAATTCATGCAATTTGCTTATGCCACGCCCTACCAAGTGATTAACAACTTATAGTGACAACTTGCTTTCAGATTTGGCTCATTTGGAACCACTGCAAAGGTTTTACTAAAGAAATGGGCTGACAGCAAAAACCATTACTGATGGAAAACTCTAATAACCAAATCATGCTGAGCAAGTCGAGACGAAAAAGGGCCAAATGACTTAAGAAGTGGTTCCTGGAGTAAAGGCAGATCAGATCAGGCTCAACTCTAGGTTTACCTAGTAAAATCAATGATGAGAAGCAACAACTTAGACATTTAAAGTAAGTTCAATGAGTTTCAAAATTATAGAGCTAAACAACCATTTTAAATTTAACATTTAAATCCTAGAATTGAAATCCAGTTTTAAAAGTGTTTGCAAATTGAATCGTCAAAGAGGATGTATTAATGCTTATATTAGTGCATTATTAAATATGATTATTTTAAAGATTTTTATCTAAATGGCGAAAAATCTGATTATAAATGACTTTCAGCATCAAACTTTTTGACAGGATTTTCTTTTTACCCTGAGCTTTCATTTTCAGCTTGCCTTTAAAATCGTTTTTGCAACTCTATTTTTCCTTTTTACTTTACCGTCTCCCTTTAGCATTTCAGTGACCTTTCTGGACCCTTTGCATTCTCCTCGCCGTTTCCATTTTGCTTTTACTTAACCCTTTGCTGCACCACCTGCTCGCTTTCTAACTCCAGCTGGGTGGAAACTTAGAGGCATCTCCGATTGGGCAAAGTAACAGTTTGATCTCATTGAATTTGAAGGGCAATGGATGCTGGATGATGCTGCAGTGTGTACTAATTACCAGGATTTACTGACAAATGTAATATACTATATAAAAGTTTATGTATTATCATCTATGAACGGAAAGTCTCAGTCTCTATGTTTGCCTTGCCATAGAAATTACTATTAATAAATACTAAGGAGCGGGTCTCACATTTATCAAGGTAGAAATCTTTGAGCTACGGCAGCACAGAGGTGACAAACTAGTAGAGATTGCCATTATGTTTGAATGTGACTCTGGCAAGTATTTAATAAGAACATTAACTTTACTAAATTTAGCGCTCAGAGCCGGCAATAAAACATACTTGATTAGGATTATTTATATAAAACAGACCATGTAGGTAGACGACTACAATTACTTATTCTGTGTATGTCACTATGATAAGCAGCTAACTAAAACATGACCACGATAAAAAATAACAGCTATATTGACAGTCTCAGACACTTCATTAAATCTATGCCCTACAGAGACCAATAAAATACAATATATAAAATGATCTAAAAACAAACCTCGTCTTCAGTTGACAAGTAAGATAATGCGGACGTCGTGAAAGCCATTTTGTACCATGCTGGCCTCCAGCAGAAGGTTGGAAGAAGCGGTGGGGGAGCAGTTCATATGGCTGCAGGCTGATCAGTAGATGTAGATTTAAAGCAACTGCACTGTTGATTTCCCATGTTCCCATGTCTCTCTTCATGTGCAAGCTTTAATTATTCCAAAAAAGTAAAAAAAAAAAAAACCGCTGGACTTTGTTTACGAGTTTGAAGACGTTTCGCTTCCCATCCAGGAAGCTTTTTCAATATAACATGACAGAAATAGCATTGAGTTCAAAGGTTAATAGAGTTTAGCTATGTTTACTAACTAAGCACCTAATAGTTATCATCTAAGATAGAGTGTGACAGCCATTCAAAACAATGAAAGGTGCACAGTACCCGTTATGGAAGCCGCCATGTTGTGATCCAAGTGTGGATGTCTAAGCAATGAAACTGTGATGTTTTTTGTTTTCATTGTGATCAGGGACCAGAAGGATCACATATAGGCTGAAACTGCAAAATAATTTGCAAATACATAAAAAAAATGGAAATACCTTTAATAAAAAATTTTGAAAAAATAAAGCTATTTATAATCTGATTTTTAAATTTAGAATTAATTTGAAAATACACTTTTAAATGCAACATGTAGCAGTGCATCTTAACTTGAAACTACATCTTCAATTTGATTCCTAATGATGTGATTTAAATGTTAAATTTGAAAGGTTTTAATTTATTTTTCTGTGACTCTCCTGGTCCTCCATATCAGCTGGGGCTGACCTCATTTATGGGGGAAATATTTCACTAATGAAGATATTTTTTAAACTGGTAGAAACATGCAATAATAGCTGATGTCGCAGCCAATAAACAGATGAATATTCTCTGAATCAGCTCACTTTAAGCTGCTCTGATGGCTGCGGTGAATTATTTCTGGGACTGCAGCACTGCTATTCTTCATGTGCCAACTGTTGTGGCATATGGGGCAAAATTGCTCACGAGGAACATTTCAGCAAAAAACGTCTTCTCCGATAAATCTTTCAAAGCAAACTCATTTGGATGCTTTTAGTGTGCTGAAAAATAAATGTATTTAGGAGAAAATAGAGTTTGTTACTGTTCAGGAAACGTGACTCATTCCTTTTTCTATCTTTCTATGTTTGCTTAGCTGCCGTGCACATGTGGAATTGGCAACCCAGACGAAATGATGATCGACCCACAGATCAGTGGCTATGGGTCCTTGGATGTCAACAACACAGGAAATTATGGGATACCTGAGAACGGTGGTCGCCAGGAGCGAATTCTGGCCCAGGTGGCGCTAAATGACCCTCAGATCACGTGTCAGGTGAAGGGATCCAGAGGCTACGTTAACATCTGGATTGACACCCATGCCATAGACAAGTACTCAAGGGTTCTCTTTCCTGGAGCATACATCCTCTTTAACATCATTTACTGGTCCATTTACTCATAAACTGGGATGCTTTAAGTTACAGAGGAGTCATTTGATGGGACAGCTGGCACTCTGTTCATTGTGCACCAGCTAAAACGATGCTGACAGAGAAAAACTGGGGATCATAAACAGAAGGGAAGCCTTTGCCTTTTTGCCCCAGCCACTTAAAACAATTAAGGATGCCGTTTTATCACTCCGTCAGATCTGTGTGCTTTAGTGTGTCTGACCTGCTGATGACAGCAGGCTTAGACTTTACTGTCGTGTTACCAAGAGGTAAAAAAATATATAGACTTCACAATTTTTAGTGCACAGATCCACTTCACACACGAACTGGAGATGACAATCATCAAGATGTTAAAAGGTTCAGAGGAGCAAAGCGGCACTTTGTCATCTGGCTTTTTTGGACGGTTTCTGGTGGATAGAATCAATACAACTCATCTACAACATAAGGAATTTACCTTGGGTAAAACTAGCAAAGAATTGCTTTTTCCAAGGATGAAGGGAAATCTGTCAATACCTCTAAATCTGACCTTATAAAAAACGTCAGTCTTTGTTTAGATTCAAATCTACATACATGTTTTCATTATGTTACATGTTTAACTTTTTCTTTGAGGCACTCACTGGTTGAAATTTAGAAAAATATTGACATTAATATTACCATTATGACCAATAATCGATAACAATCACTCTGCATTATTATCACTGCCAGATGTCAAGACAAATAGCACATAACCAACCCACTTCCCCCTCCCTCCTTTTGACAGCAACACGATGTTGTCACAAAAATCATCAACTCTGACCGATACCAATATTAATGCTGATATATCGTTCATAGGTTCATCTCAGGCTGTTAAAATATGATAAAAAGGATCATTTATGTCCAGTTTCACACACACAGCATGATATTTAAAGCTTATTTATTTCCATTACGTAACAATGGTTTACAGTTAATGGAAATCACAAATCAAGTTCCTCAAAAGAATTTTTGATGCAGAAAAGTTATTTTATGGCCATTGAAATGTGGAAATCTGCTGACCATACAGATACTGACAACTTTCACAATAACAGTAGGTCTCATTGCAAAGCTGGCTGTTCCCTGTGTAAAGCTTGAAAGTTGAGTGGAGGGAAAAGGTTTTGCAGAGGTAATAGAATCAACAGGAATAACCACGGCCTTGAGAAGGTGGTGAAGTTTTATAGTTTGGTGAAGATTTAGGAGGGTTTTTTTTCTCATTGAGAAGCCATGTCATCTGCTGGTGCTGTTCCACTGTGATTTGTCACGTGCATGTTATGCTTGCATCAGAGAATCCATTATTGAGGCCAAACACTGTGCAGAATTGTAAAATGTTTATCGAATAATAAAACAAAAATCCTGGAGAAGGCAGGTAGTTCTAGAGAGGAGAGGATAGACAGTAATACATGAGACAGGCTTGGTCATAAACAGAGCAGACAGGCAGAGGAGGGCAGACAGAAGAGGGAAGGGCAAGAAACGGGTTGGAAAGCACAGTCAACGAGGAGCGAGGGAGGACAAGGAGAAAACGGGGAGACCCAGAAACACGCACAAAAACAGAACACAGGACAAAAAGTAACTGTGCAGTCAGTGATACCACCCACCAGGAAATTTGATTGGCCTAATCCAGCTATGGTTTATTATTGGCAAGAGGAAGCTGAGAGATTCCAGATCCAAATGAAGCAACCTGGTATTCCTGAATACTTTGACAGAGAGATCTCCTCCATTCCACTCTGCACCGATGCAGTAAATCATACAAAAGGAGCCTCGACTAACGACAGAACATTGACAAACATTTCTGAAATCATCACAGTTAACAGAAATAAACACCTCAGATATATTATCCTGTGTGTTATGAAGCTAAATGACTTTACCTTTTTCAAACCTAATGACTGACATAAATAATCTGTTCTATTATATTCCCATTTATTGAGAGGCTCCCTATTCTATACAGATTAAAAACATCCTGGATTAAACACTGATGTTATATCTGACCAGAGGTGGTCTCATATTTCACAACATGCTCTTTTTACATTTTAGATTACTATTATTTTTTTGCATTAAACAAACAGGTTTTTGGTTGGAGCGTCATGTTTACAGTACAAACCATGAACTCTGTGACTTGGCTAACAAGTCATCAGAAATCAGCCTGATCATTTGGAGCACCTTAGGTTTAGATGACAATCAAACCTCTTTTTTATGAAAGCGTTTTGTGAGGCAAGCCTGTAGGTAAAGGGACACATGAACAAATGATTATAGTTTATAAATCATCTTTAGTAAATATCCAATTGGGTGAATTAAAAGTTAATTACCTTTTATGTACAAAAAGGTAGCAAAAAACTACCTTTTATTGTCACAACCTTTAAGAAATAATTGATTTAATCAGGTAACTTTTTTGTATTTTATTTCAACAGGTGTTCTACTAAATAAATTACTTTAAAATGATTGATGCAACAGGAATCAGCACTAGATTGGATGGACAGCTCCATCTTTATTTATTGACATTTTTGTCGAAGATGCTTAAACATTAAATAAAATAAATTTGGATTTTATCTAATTAGCTCAATCTCACTGTTAACATTTTTTTAATCAACCTTTTATTAAAGATTATTTATATAGTGGAGGTATAAGATTTCCTTCAATTTACCAAACTGTGTGAAGATGAAGAGTCCACAGGGTACTGGACGGGTTCTCTTCTCATCAGCTCATCTCACCACTTTATGTTTTTGGTGTGGGACTGAGAGGACAAGTATGCTGAATCTGTTAAACATTACAAAACTCTTAGATTCATTAACGACCCAAAGTTTCATTTAAAATATCCTGTCATTTAAAAAAAATATAGATTGTAATGTATTTCATTCGATACTGCTATGGTCATTGGATGTGAAACAGACCCACAGCATTATAGATCCTCCACCATACTTGGACTTGAGGTGCTTTTCCTTCAATTCATCCTTTGTTTCACATCAAAACCCCAGTTTTACTAAAAGGTAATAGCTACAAGTTAAACTCCAAACAATAAGTGGCGCACTCCCCCCGCTCTCATTCGGTACTTTTCCAGCTGGTAACCTGTCCAGAAAGAGAGCGGCAACCTCAAGTTTTGAGCCTCTCAGCTCAAATGCTCAAAAGCTTGACTGATCTTCACCCTAATTTTGCTCCTTTCTTGTTCTTTTTTTATGGCTTGAATCTGAGAAATGTTAATCTAAAAAGAAGCCATTTCTCAGCTTGGTCACAGAGCTACTACCATCTGGCAAATGTCACTTCAACTTATTGTTCCTATTGGTGCAAGAATCCTTTTGTGTTAATGTTGGTATCGTCGTAACCAAAGGTAAATATTTATATATTTTGGACCCATCAAAAATGCATAAAACAAATATTTATATACTGTTTGTTCTGGTAACATGTATACTTTTATTATGCGCCACTCTAAACGTTCTGTGGATGTATTTAGAAAACTGTTTTGATGAAAAAGTTGTAACTATGACCTTTAAATTCCAAGTACATTTAACCATTTTTTAATGTTTGTTATCTTTTGTGCAGATAATTGTGGAATCTTTTAGTGGCACTGATCAAGTTGAGCAAACATTCAAACAAACTATTTCTTAGGATTTCTGGGAATTTCCCTGTGGGCTGACTATAAATCCTTGGGGCCTTTAGGGCTGGGATTTTCATGCTCTTCCTGTGCAAGCAGGTGTTCTCTCTGGGTACTCCTCTTTCCTCCCACAATCCAAAAACAGGCCTATTCAATTTTCTGTCATCTCTTGATTTGTCTTAGTAGAAAACTCCCCATTCCCACTATGATCCCTGAAGGTAGGCAGCAGCTCGTCTGCAACCCTACATTGATAAGCATCTTTAGACATTGAATGAATAGATTTCTCCTTCCTAATCAGACTTCATAACATTCAGTTTTTAAATTTCAATATTTTCTATTGAAATATTGTTATACAAAAAAATAAATAAAAAATGAGATGATTCTAGTATAACGGAGTGCAAAAATTCAATAAGAATGTAGCAAATAATTATGTTTTGCTTTCAAACTGAGTTATTTAGAAACACGATTTCTAAACGTTTGTTGGTTTAATAAGTCAAGGTTGGAGAACAGCAATTTCCTCAAACATTTTCTATTAGGATTGCAAGTTTAAGATTTCACCCCTCAGGTCAGGAAGTTACAACTTTGTTTACTGAAGATTCGGTGAAGTGGTTCCAAGCTAAATCTGAAAACAAACATTTGTAGAGTATTTTTAAACTGAAGGTTTCAGGTTTTCTGTATTGTGTTAACAGGAGTCAGTTTATGCCTCATGTTCCTGTGAATTTCTATCGGTGTAATTGTTTTGTGGCCAACCTGCTGCACAACATTACCATAATCATGGTTTAAGAAAGTGTTTAATAATTTAAGACATATATATCTATATATGTGTACACAGAAACCTGTTTTATTATTATTATTCTTTTCTAAATAACTGTAATTTATGTCCTTTTTATTTTTTTATACTGAAACTGATCTCCTCTGCTGTTGCTGTCGTGAGGCTTTAGGGTTCACTGTGACCTGTTAGTTGATAGTTTATTTTTCATGATACATTTTTGGTGAAGTGATATAGAGATATTTAAATATATTCAAAGTAAAATGACCAGAAAACTATGATGGATTTAAACTTAAGAGAACTATTTTATGTTATTTTATTAAAAATGTGAAACTTGTGATGAATTTATCGAAGCTAATGTAAATTTCCTTTTGCATGCAATATATGAAAAATGAAAGCTTTGAGATGCATGGCAGTGATTATTAGTAATTTCAGTTTTTTCTTAATAAAAGAAAGACGTTTGAAAAAGTTATGAGTTTATAAGATCTTGATGACTACAAACATTAACAGAACAGGACATGCTTCATGCTGTATATTCACTGTTCTTTTATTTTTGAAAGTATTTCTCAACAAACATAAAAAAATGAATTAAATGAAGAAAGATATTCAGTCTGAAATAAAGTTCTAGTTTGCAGAAGATCAGCGCTATACAT